CCAAGAACGAAATTATTAATTTGGAAGGCTTAATAGAAAGCATCTAAGCACGTTGATGTGCATTCGATCATAGTCATACAAAAACTTTGTAAAACTTGGAGTATTTGAAATATTTGTAATAGTAAATCGTTGTTAAGGTAGCGTACAAATTGAATAATTTTTAGGCACACATTTGAAAACATAGACAAACAGAAAATGTATATGAATGTGGCAATTCAATGCTAGCCAGGAGCCTTGTTACATAACTACCAAAAACTTGTACGGCTCTAGTGCAGCCAATGTTTTGAGAGGGACTCACAGCTGACCGTAGCAACTGTAGTAATAAGTCGAAAACCAGGCGAGTGTTGCATAGTTGTGTATTTCCTGTTTGTGGTGCATAAAATAGTGGGTTCCAATATACATAGCTCTCACTTTTGCGGTTGGCACATACCATTGCATATCAGCGTCATTTTCAGGTATCGAAACGAAAGGCAACTGAACTGTACTACTTTTGCTTTAAGGCATGGTTAGCAGCTTTTGGGCACTTTCCCGAATATTCTTGTAGCGATTCCACTCGTCAGATTATAGATATTTATTGGCACCTAATTAAAATATCGCAAAGAAGCTCAAGTAAACCATAGCTAGGTTTGCAATTCAGAGACGCATAAATCTTTAATTATAACAAAACCCGCCGCGAGATGCAAATCAATAACGTAATTTATTGGCTATCACACGATAATAAAATTTATTGGTTGAACATACATTTAAGCTGAATATTTATTGCGCTTATATTTAACCTGAACTTTTCTTATATTCATAACAGCATTAACCGATTTTTAGATAATTGAATCTGCTACCGAAGTACAAACATATATTACTCAAAAATATTTGTTCGCAATGTAAACTAGTATATATAAAATTTAGTCATCGGTTGAGTTCCTCAATTTTGAGCTTCTTAGGTTAATAATATGTGTGAAGGCATTTAATGTAGCCTTGTACCCAGGAAGTGACTGTAACGTTGGTATATTAGAAAGGAAAATCCCAACTGCCGGTCACAAATTTTCTGCGCGCATGCAAAGTAATCGCTGGTCAGCTCTCAAATGTTGGTAACAAAAGAAACAGCAACAGCGTAAACTGTAGCAAAACTTGGGTTACTCGCCGAAATTGTGCCTTGAGGTCTCTGATACGCCTTCCCGTTGAATTGTGCAATCGATTAAAAACTGAAAGCTGACCAATGGTTGTTTTCAATTTATAAAGTGTGCGTTTAATTGTGAACCGCACCTAGCGAGCTAGACGACTCTAGACAAAAAAAATTAGCTGGCAGGCGATTTCATATTTAATTTGTAATTCTTAGTCGAATTATTTCGCACTTCTATCAAATGACACTAATCAGCGACAAATTTAAATAGCACTTATAAAGAGCATTAGTATATTGCTGTGCAGAATCAACCGCAGTTGTATTTTATTAAATATATAGAATTTAAACCTATATATCAGAGTATATAGTTTATTTCTCAACAAACTAAAAGAAAAAAATTGTCGTTTTTAATTTGTTTGGATAAGGGTGTGGACTTATTTTAAACGTTTTAAATTAAACTCATAAGTTAATGACCTAAATAGCAAAATTAGTGCCCGGAAGCCGTAAGTTCGCTGTATTAAAGCAACATAAATTTGCGCAAATTGACAGAAAAGCGTATCAATAGATAGTATGTACAATTCAAATTGTCCGAGTATTTGTGGGGTTGCCTTTTTATGTGCAGTATAGTACTTCACTTTCAATAAAGTCGCGTAATGTGCTGCTCTTATTTTTGAACAAGTAGAGCAGCAAAAAGCGAAGCAATCGACAAACGGCGAACAAACTCACAAAAAAAAAAAAAAAAAGCCAATCAGGCTTATGGCCGAATTACTGTACATTGCATAACAACCCAGCCACGCTCTAACTCTGGCTAAGCAAATCCACGTAGACACTTTGTTTAGTGGAGCAGAAAGTACAAACAGCAACAATGAGTCGACAGTTGTGTTGCCAAGTGTGTACTGGCACTGGCTAAGACAAATGTCATCCCAGGCGATGGCGGCTTTATACTTTTGCATGGCCGATTGCCATTGGCACGTGATTAGCTTACATTTTGCGGCACTGCCAGCCAACAGCATATATCACTCAGATAGTCGGTCAGTGCTGCGTTTGTCAGGCGAGACCGAAAGCTTTTGCTCGATAATTGTACAATTTGTGGTGCGTGCTGCATGCTAAATAGATCTTATCTACCAGCCTTGACATGATTGCTCACATTAGAAAAACAAACACATAAACAAAATAGAGCACTATGGGAGGCCTGCGCCTACCTATGAGATGCTCATCCATTTTTATCAATTATTTAATATACAGGCATCTCACTCAAAAAAATTCATGTACCAAAAACTACGGCCTTTTATCCTAGTTTTGAAATAGGAGACCAATATTTAAAATAAATCTAAAATTTTTTTTTCTGCGTTTGATATGGTAGTGTCAACTTACTATGTTTTGTTGTCTCTTGTTTCTTTTTATATATTGATATCATGGCATTCAAATAAATGGGCCGGCATTAGTTACTGTGCTATTGATGCTGATCCAAACGTGGTCCCCTTTTTTTAATGGGTTCAAAGAAGAAATGGCTATATTCGGGAATCGTCCCATCTGATAGTAATTAGATGTCTATATGTATTTAGAAAGACGCATTATTATTGATCAACATGGAATCAACGATTCATGTACGCCCAATTATAATAATGATGAAATGCCTAACGCGGTAATTGTAGCCATATCTGGCTTAGAAACTATTAATGGGTACAATAGAAAAGTGAATGTAAATTTGTTTGGGAAAAGGTGTCTCTATCAGGCCAAATATATTGTATTACTTGAAAAATATAAGGTGCCTCTCGTGCCGTTTCATGGCTGGTCAAAAGTGCAACTTAACTTCGAGTAACCATAACTTGTTTTTGTTTGTAAAATGCTCACGTCGCAATTAAAGTGTAGCATTATAATGCTCAGTTGCAGTCCGGCGCTTGTGTTTATAAGTCAGTGTAGGTGGGTCATAAAGCGATTGGGTAAAGGCTCCGCAGCACTGTCCCAAGAAAACCAAGATTTATATGTATATATAAATATATATATGTATATATATAAAAATAATAATAAAACAATTTTGTCGATTGCATAGCTATGGTTTACATTCTAAGCATAAGGTTTTAAACCAAAACCGAATTGAAATCGAAGGTTGACTGATATCGTGTCGAAACGGACTCCTTGCATAAATTTACTATGTTGCAATTCGGTTAATTTATTAGCTGTGGTTTTGAGCTGTCAGTACAAAAATATTGCAAAGCAAGATATATGCCCAAAATGCTAAGCAATAAGAGCAAAAACAACTTCCGCCCCAATTACTAAATTGCGCCCATAGCTTGGGCGAGCCACTCAAATTGGTCGCACCATTGGCTTAAGGCTGTGTCTCAGTTATTTTAGCTTTGTTTAAAATTTCGTATGACTTTGATTGCAACGAATTGGTTTCAATTCGAATTCAGCTTCAATTGTTTGAATTGCTAATCAGTTTTAGTATTTGGTTATATTTTTTTAACGATAAATGGAACCGTGTGGGCTTGCGACTGGTTTTCTGCGCAAAAGGTTATTTTATATATATACTCTGTTCTCAAGGGAAGACGAGTATATTAGTGTTGAACTATATAGATTTGTTGAGACATTGTTTAAAAAAAATTTTTATTTTATTTTAAAGCTAGTAAAGGATTTGACCAAAAATAATTTATTTTGGCCAAAATCATATTTTAACTCCAAAACAATTTACAGGAAAATAATGGTTAAACTCACATTTTTGTATGGAATCGGTCATATTTTTGAAGGTTCATTAAACCATGAACAGAAATAGAATTTGAAAATTCTTTCTCTTAATAAAACTGAACCGCCAGACAGAATCTGTTGTTTACTTTGATCTGAACAGCTGAGACTTAATTCTAACCAAATCAGTCGGATTAGGGAAGTAAAAATAGAACTAAAAACAGCAAGTTAATTTTACCAGATATAACAACTATAAATGTTGAATTAAAAAATATGTATGTACTAAATTATAAATATCTTGTGTTTTATCCTTTGCAGGATTGACGAATGCACAAAGCAAACGGGCCCCACGCGTCACCAATTCACGCAGTTTTGGCACCAATGTTAAGTCAACCAGTTCAAATGGTGTTAGCTTTGACTGTCCCGAAGAGTTTGGGTATTACCCTCATCCCACGGACTGCACACAGTATTACGTATGCGTATTCGGTGGTGCGTTACTCGAGAGCTGCACTGGAGGTCTAATGTATTCGCATGAACTGCAGACTTGTGATTGGCCCAGAAACGTGGGTTGCGAACTGGTGGACAGTGGCACGTCGGCCACCTCTACCGAAGTAGGTGGCGCCTCACGTAATAAGCCACAGCAACATGTTCCCAGCCGCATTCGCTTTGGGGCCGCCTTCACCAGCCCTGCAGCTACACAAAAGACAATCACAGTTCCCCCACAGTATCATCGTTCACCTCCACAAATCATACAAGCGCAGGTTCAGCACATACCACCGCCACCAGAACTGGCCGTATCACCAAATCCGGTGGTCACGTCACGAGGACAGCCAAAATCGCTTCTGGACTCGCAGGAGGAAATAGCTAAGGTAAACCACGGCCAAAAGGCAGCAACGTGAGCTCAAATGGTTTTTTTTTATATCTATATACCATACAGCTCTATGCCGATGCACAAGAAACACTGCCACCAGTTGAAGAGGAGGAAAGCGATCGTCAGCAACGTGTTTATCGTGGCCAGCCGAGTACTGTAAGCCAGGTACAGCGGGACCGCGATGGCATCCTACACCAAGCCAGCATAAATGCTATACCCAATCATGGAAAAATTGGGTCCTACACGTTCGGAACAGTTTACAGGTAAGTTCTGTGCCATTTAAATTCCGCTCAAATGTAGTGCTTCATCTGCCGTCGCTTAAAAACTAAATTTATTGTCTATTGATGGTAATTTACTTTTTGCTTTATTTTCAAAAATGCATAACTGATTTTAAATTCTTTTCAACCCATTTTACTGCTCTTTTTTCTTATAAAATGCATACTGCACTATTTCTATATTTTACTTCAAATGACACAACAACCGACTGAATATGATTTTTGGCTAAACTCTGTACGCAAACAGCGAAAGCTTGGACGACGACGTGACAATCGAACACGAACTGTCACATAATCGACTTGATGTAGACAGACGACGCAAACGACGCGATGTTAGTGGGTTAATGTCAACTACGCCAGAGGAAACAGCTGCCTCTACTACTGAAATGTCCAACGATTCAAATACCTCTAGCGAGGTTATGGAGCCCGATAGTGCCAACAGTACCCAACTGGGCAGTGGCGAAGCGACGAATAATTCCAATAACTCGAATAACTCACAAGAGCAGTATGACGAGGCAGTGCCATTGGTCTCTCAACTGCAAAAGTACTCATCAAAAATCAGTCAATCTGAGATTGGCTTTCCTAATACGGACGCTGACTACAGTGAACTTGTCGAAGACAACAATGATACTGCAACAGGAGAATCAAAGCGACGAGCTCGTCAATTGCGGCCTTATCCTCATCCAATTGCTAAGTGGCCGGCGCATAACTACCGATCCGTTGACACACCAGTTCAGCAGCCCTATATTCAGAAAAATAGCTACAGTTTCGGTAGCTACAATCCCTATCTCACTCCACCAAGCCAGCAAACTCACACCAATCAAAACTATAATAAACCAAACCCAGGTCCGGGATATAAGGCTTATCCACAGCAGCTACAACAGCCGGAACCTGCTGAGCCGTATGGAAAAAAACCAACTTTGGTCTACACAGGTTATAATTTGTCACTACCGCCGCCTCCGTTGGAAGATGACTTTCGACCCATTGCGGGTAACTACTATGGTGCAGCCAGCTCAACAAGCTCAAGGCCGCCAGGTGGTTACCAAGAGCAAACGAGCCAAGCCGATTTACTACCCTACCTTATACAACAGCTTAAAGAGATCAAAGAACGCAGAAAACAAATACAAACTGAAAACTTTGCCTACTTTCATTTGGACAATCAACCTATTGCCCCCACCGCGCACAGCACCACCCCACGGCCGTCATTCGAGTACTTTTCCACGACTAAGTCGACGCCCCAAGTAACACCAAACAGTCCATATGCGCAATACAGCACCATGGGTGGATTTTACAATAACAAACCGGATTATGTGCCAAGCACGTCAAACTATTCTGGCAAACTGATATCTCAGTACAGCATTACTCAAAGTCCGGAGCCACAGAGTACGACAGAGAGCAATTACTTTCAGTATAATATTATTGCAAATCAAAAGATGAAGGGCGTATACAATACTGCCAAGCTGAATCAACTAGAGCATGCCGCAGTAAAGGTGCGACCACCAGTCACGCCACTGCAGGTGACACCCAACTTTAATATCGTTTCGGCGCCTAATTTAGCTTACAACAAGCCTAATGTCCTGCAGCAAATACCTTTCCGAGATTTGTCACATTTGCCAATCGGAATCAGCTATGCTTCAAATACTTCCATACCAGAATCATATCAGACTTTTACCAAATCTATCAGCTCCACTGTGCCTCCAAAGCCGCCGACAACTACCAAGCCTCAGATGACAAATTTTCAATTTAATATTAATGAATTTATGGCAAACCTAAAAGCTAGTGATCTGGCAAGTTTTAATCCGGCTGTAAACCCATTAATTAAGTACTTTAAGCAGGTAAGCAATGATGGAAGTGGCAATGTTCGCAATGCCTTGATTCTTCGCCGACCCGTCAGCAGTTCGACGCCAACTAGCACAATTACAACCCGACCTCCTTTCAAATCCAATCCGACGCCTGCAAAAGCGTCGATTAGCTCAACTACACAAGCGTCGACTACACCCATTCTTAAAGGTTATAAGATTTTCGTAAAGAATACGCAAAATCAGATTAACAAACAAATGTCTGAACCAAATCAATCAACGACAACCAGCACACCACGTCCACGGAGCAGTGGCAGCAGAACGACCACCACTCAGAAAACTGTTGAATACTACGACGAGGATTACGATGATGGGGTTGACGAAGACATGCTGCCACCGTCACGCATGCCCCCCTACATGCCCATGTCAGAGACTATGGCACCACCTCGTCCACAAGTCACAACTAATGTGCCACCCACGACAACGCCGAGCAAAATTCGCCCCAATGTACAAACAGGATTTATGGAAGCCACAACAACGCGCCGACCCTTTCCAAATTTTTCGCAACTCAATCAGCCCAACACAGGCAATGGAGTTCCTGCGTTCATCAGCTTTCCCAGTGACATATTTCAAGAATTGAAGCAGCGACTGCCACAGTTGCAAGGATCAACAGCCGCCAACACTCAATCTACACTCCGCGTTCGCGTTACCAGCACAACAAGCACTACAACGCCTACAACCCCAACAAGAATCCGATACACCGTGCGACCACCACAGCGCATGCGCGGACAGCAGAAGTGGCAGGCCCAAGCTGTGAATAGCACTGACGGATTAGAGCGCACGCAAAATGAAACCGGCCGAGGGGCTGCCTACGCCAAGCCAAGTTCAAGCAATGGTGGTTTGGGCGGCCAGCACTTGAACTCGATACATATCAGCTCAAATACGGAAAGACAAAGGTAGTTATAAAAGTCGCCGAAAATATGCTGTTCAATTATTTGGTGCCGCTACACAAATACACATAAATACGGCGGTTACATGTACATAATTATAAATATAAATGCCACTGCCCTTTAAGGCGCTACTGTTTATACTGTTTATACGTTTACGTTCAGACCTTACCCATAACTAAGAAATCTAAACAGATGGAACTTACCAAAGATGTACAGTTGACTAAACAAATTTTGTAGGGACTGGGCCAATCTAACCGAAATTTCAACCGCTTAACTTCAACTTAACTCATCCTTTATAACTAATACTTTAAGCTACTAAACGATTCCACAAAATATAAAAACCACACAGATTTAATTATTTTTTGATTTCGTTTTGCATTTCTCTCCCCCTTGTAATATATGTAAATTACCATTGTCTTTACACACATACATATGTATTATATAATGACATCAATAATTTAAACTATTTAAATTATACTTGTTAATGTAAATAACTTGCGCCGCATATTCTTCCCACATAATTGTGTGTAAAGAGTTGAGTCATCTTCCCCGTCATCGCTGACGGCGCAAACTTCCGATAACATATTTCTACAACCAAGCTCACAAGCTTCACCGCCACAGTTTGCATCCAATCGTAACTACTACAACACATCCATATTCAATCATGGGGGTGGCTACCAAACACCACAGCAGCCACAGGCGCAACAACAACAACCGTCACCATTTCAACAACAACCGCAACAACAACAGCAACAGGCACATGCCTTACCAAACCCCTATGATTCATCATACTATTCTGTTTACGACGACGATATTGATTTATATAGGGATATTGAGTATCAACAGCAGCAAGAACAGCATCAGCAAAAGTCTCAGCCATACCAGTCTTCAGTGCGTCAACAACAGCAATCAACTTATAGACCGCTAGAAATATTGACGACGCCGACACCACCCCAAAGACCAAGCTACAGCAGCCAGCCCACTTTAGGCTATAATACAGACTATGATGAGGATCTCAATGCACAGGTAACCGTTATTAATGATAAGAACATGTTCGTTTATCTTGACAGTTAGTCTTATTGTTATGCTTAACAACTAATCGTTCATTCAACAGATCGAACAGGATAATGTGTACGATCAACCTACGCGAACTCCGCAACGGTAAGTACTCTCTTCTCGTTTTTAATCGCAATTCAAACTGAAATTCGGTAGCATCTTGTTGAATATATTACATTTCATGCCTCATATAAGTTAACTAGCTTTCAGACAAATTGTAATAACAAAAATTTCAAAATGTTTTGTACCAAATCTATATAATGTTCTTGAGAAATTAAGCTCAATAGCTTGAAAACACCATAAGTTTAGTTAGCTAGCGTGTTCTCGAAAAGTACAAAAGTCATACAACACAAAAACAAGTACAACATACACCAAATGCATCAAAATTGACATACATTTTCATTTTTTAACTGCAACTGCTACACGTAAAGGCTTCTCTCTACCAGGGCCGAAGCGGTGACCATACAAGCCCTGGATACGAGGGCAACTGCCTCGACGACTTCAAAACCAGCTGCTAGGCCTGATGGGCGCAATTACTACGACACATTTACCACGCCTAATACGAACTATGAAGAGGTCGATTACAGCTATTCCAGCTCAGCAGAGTATGCCCAAAATTCACCCGCGGACTACTATCAAAGCGAGCAAACTCATGTGAAGACTAGGCCAAGCACTCAAGCTCCCAAATCAAAAATTACGGACGATTATTATCTGATTGCCAATGATGTCGCACATTCTACTTCAGCTTTTAAAGTAGATCCGACTAAGAAGTACACGACAATGACACCCACACGTCTTCCGATTTCAAAGTCATCTTCAGTACCAATCAGGAATACAAACAAGATTACCACAACAACCACACAAACCGTCACAAAGCCCCCTGCAACCACTACAACAACAACAACAACAACAACTACATTGCACCCTTCCAGGTACTTTCTACACCACAATTAGTGAAATGTCTTACTTCATTTATAAATACCTAGACCTTCTAGCTCTTTATAAAAACCTTTATTTGGCCCACCAATGCCTTATTGGCTTTTAGATGATAAATATTTATAAGCTTCCCATTTCATCAAATCATATGATATTCGATTACCCCGATTACACATAGTTCCGAAATGCAAATCGAGTTGGCTTTAGTAGCACTTATTTATTTAAATACGCGAAACCGAAGCAAAATTCGTCAGTTAGACTTTGATGTTTATTTTAGGCTACAACTTGGCTATATTTCACCCTTTCACACTAGTTTTCTTTGTGTTCTCTGATAGTGTAGTGCAAAATATTCCATAAGATACGAACGCTCAAATTCATTGCATGATCTTCATACACAATATCATGTATGCTTGCATATAATGTAGCAATTAGGTATTTCGCGTATGGCTTCGTGAAGTTCGCATGGCATGCGCTTTATAATAAGATCTAGGGAAGTGATTCAGCGAATACCAGTCCAATAATGAAAACCAAAAGATTCAGATTTATCGTTATATTGTAAAAACATACACATACATACAAATCAATGTGGATATGATACTAACACTAATTTGATTGTTTATTATAAATACACATATCTTCAACAGCTCAAAAACGCATGCAAATAAAAACCTTAAGCAAAATGTTATAATCAAATTAAAGACAACCACATCACCACGTACCACACAAGCACCCAGTACAACAACCCCAACGACCAGCACCATAAAGCAACCTTCACTTCCCACATATGACTCCAATCCCTTTCTCAAATCCAAGCTACAATTTCTGGCCAAGTCCCTGATCAGTGCTGTGGCTGGCAGTCAAAGTCAAAATATCAATGACACAAAAACTCTGACCCAAGTCCAAACTACAGTCACACCTCCAATCAGCGAATCGTGGGCGTCGGTAAATGACAGTGCAAATAGTAGTAGTACTCAAAAGTATGTTGAGACAGTTTACGATGAAAGCCAGAATGTGCACGTCCAGACGGGGGAGATATCTAGTAGTCGTACTTTTGAAACAAGCACTTCGCCCAAGTTTCTGGATTTCATCAATGCCGCAGCTTATGGAGCCAGCAACTTAGTGCGCGCGCCCACAGAGAAGTCATTTAAGACTGTATACACAAGGGAAAATATAAACAACGGCTTTGAAAAAGACAAAACAATATCCACCGAGCAAAATCAAAGCAAACGTATACAAAGCTATGTTCTCTCCGATGTTAAACCCCAAAGCTTTAGGGCGATTACAAACAACACGCCAAGGGCTGCGTCATCGGACCTGTTAGATAGCTCGAGTACAGCAAGACCCAACAAAGCATACGAGTATAGTCTGGAAAGCGGTTCTCACGGATTTACCTTAAGGGCTAAGGAATCATTAAACGAGGAAAACGCGTCTGAACCACTGTTTGAACGTCCTGAAAATGGCCAACGTCTTAAGCCCAACACAACAACAACCCGTTTACCACTTACATTAATCAATCATGTTAGCACGGAGATTGAAGATATTATACCAACAACATATGCCCCGTTACGTATTTGGCGCAACGGTCGTCCAACTATCAAGCAAGCTCATAGAAAACCGACGAAAATGCCAACATTGAGCGTCACTGAACTGCCCAGCACTACTGCGAAAGCAACCACCACAACAATAAGAGCACCTAGTACTTTAGGTACTAGTACCGAACGAGCGAGCTCTGGACAAAGTTTTACATCCCGTGCAAATATCTTCAAGGATAACCTTAACCGTGCTACGAGCAACCCAGGAATGAGATTTGTTTCGCCATATAAGAGCCTTGAAAGTTTGCTGCAAGACGAACGGCTGCCACACAACAGCCTCAGAACAACAACAAGAACGCGCTATGCTCCAGCCTCAATACCGTTTCTCCAAACAACGCCAAAGTCAACACAGAATAACTTTCCTCCTCTGAACACTATTCAAAATAATGCCACCCAATTTGTCATTGAAGCTATGACAAACAGCAATACCCGCAACTTCAGCATAAGTGATGTAATTCTGAGCACCTTCAGTCCCCAAAGACCAGCTCCAAGCATGCCGCGTGCAACCACAACGACCACAACCAGAACCACAACCACAAATAAAATACAAACGGAGGCAGCACTTACTACTACAATTTTAGAACCAACCGTAGCTACTGTAGTGACATCGCCCTCAATCCAGGTGTCTGAAATCGCAGTGCGTGCACGTGGCCGGTCGCGGTACACTGCGGCTACGGTCAGCTATAATTTAGATAGTGTCGACGAGCCGACCACCTACGCCCCCAAATTTAAGATACCCAATAGCTATGAACTGAGGAGCTCCACATCTAAACCATTTTTAAGACGCAAAGCGCATCGTGGTCGAGTTGCTAGCAGCCTCCGGCAAACGATATCCGAACCGACGGCTAAGTCTGGTGAAAAATATGAAACTTATAAGGCAGGTCAAAAGGCCAAGGAGACCGTTTATAGGTATCAAATATCCCCGTCCTCTGCCAAACCGATAACTGCTGAGGAAACAAGTTTACCGAAACGTAACCCAAATGAAAATGAAGCCTCAATCTCAGATAACCCGCGTGCAGAAGCCCTAATTGCACAGCAGCCACTCGAAAATAAACATAACAATAGCATAGAACAGAGCATAAGCACAGATACATCTGCCAGTTCTATCCAAGATGTTCATGTTATATCCGACCGCCCACCTGTTAAGTATCTATTTTCGAACAAATATCGGCAGCAAACGGCAGAGCGTACACTGGCGGAGAGTCTGCAGAATGCCGGCTACATAACGACGGCAAATGGACGAACCAAGTTTCGTGCTAACAATGTGCTGGAGCAACTGCAACATTTTCTTTCCGCCAGCGACAGTGATGAGAGCGGTTCACCGCAATTCGTTGATGAAATTTATGGTTCAGAAATAAAAGCTTCGGTTAATGAGATTAAACCGGGCGTTTCAACAAGCCGAAGTGCTACGACTACAATGAGATCCACTTCTACCATGTCTGCATCACTGCCAACCACACGCGTCCCACTTTTTGCATTTAAGTCGACAGGAAACCCATCCAAATCATATACCCCAACCCCTACTATTAGCATATTAGACACAGATGCAACAAAGGCTAACATTAGCACCCCAGATATTAGTACTGAACCTGTCCCTTCAACAACGACTGCCTATCCCTCTGTAACTATAAATTCTCCACCAACAACACGAGTTTCGAGGGTAAATAACGCCTTGAAGTCGTCAATTGCCGCTGCTGCCGCCCAATCATCTAGCCCGGTCTCTACCTCATCCACCTATCAAATGCCAGGGGGTAGAGCTAACAAATTCCAATATGGCCTTACCTCCAACAGTAACAACAACAACCAACACCAATACAACAACAACAATGCCGCTGTCGCTGCTGTCTCGGTGAAGTGCTCCGATAGCACACTGAGCCCCAAGTGCAACGAAATCCCCTCAAGGTATAAATAGCGATTTCTAATTAACGCTCTGTAGTAGCTGTCACCTCTGCATTATCACTCTCCTGTCTTTTTATACAAATTCACCGTAATTTTGTTTTGAACACAGATCTAGTCTCCTAAAACCAACCCAACAACTGTACTTTTATGTAGTTTTCTTTTCTCATTACCCACATTCACCCACTTTTGTAGAACTCTGGTTGTTTGTTGGCTTTCTAGTATGCCTTTAATTTTTATTAAATTAAACAACCAACTGGCAAAATGTCGGAAATTTTTTCAGACCAAAATAATGCCAAGATCCATTTAAACTACATAGTTTTCGCCTTGTACGTTTTCGTAGATTTTTAGATTTTTAGTGCAAAGATACATAAATACTAAATATTAGCTGCTCTGTAAAATGTTGCAACAATGTACAAAACGGTGAGCATAAGTACGTAAACAAATTGTAACCGTTAGGTGGTGGCCAGTTTAACTCTTCATATATTTTTGTCTATTATTATTGTGATCTTTTCATTTTGATTTAATTATGATATTATTGGCGCACTTTTTATTTTTATTTATACGTAAACGATTATAATTAATACATACCGATGAAAATATGTATGTATGTATGTACAAGTCACAATTATGTATGAACTGAAAAGTAAAAAATTTGAAATTTGAAAATTTTGATTTCACATTTACATAATTTTCTCTCTAATGCGAAGCATGTAAGTATATGGCTCGTAAATAAATAGCTGGATACAAAAAAATTAAATTCCACTAAAAGAGATTCATTACAGCTATAAAGTTATTGAATTTTGATGTCAATCTGCATTTGCACATTTTACTGAGCTTTAATATAGTATTTCTGTTTCTAATTAGCGTTGAGCAAAGCGTGGAAGTTTTAAGAGGCTTTTTTTTAATTTGCCCTAAAATTTCGAATGTGTTCCGCATTAAACAAGTTAAGCATTTGTTTGAGCTAAACCAAGCAGTTCCGCCCCCAAACATGCTACAGAAATTATGAATCCTGTTTTGAAGAAGTCATACAAAGTAAATTATTCATATTTTACAGCGGTCTACAAAGTGAATCAACATCAACTTTAATTATAATGTCTATTATTCTCAGCTTAGGTTTACAGCCCAATCCCGCTACACATACACATAAGTATACTATACATTTCCGGTTCTCACTTTATATAATCGAATTGGCTGCTGATATGAAATGCTATTTTATTCACGTGTACATATATATATATACATATATATAAATACTTACATACTTTTCGAATACATGGGTTACGCGAGGTTTTTTATTAAATAACACTAACCAAGCACATAAATAATCTTAATGTATTATCTTTAACTTTTTTGTGTAACAATAGCCCTTTAAATAATTGGTTGGCAACCCGTACAATTAAAACTATGTACTGTTTAAATACTTTTTTAAACAATTTTTTAAATATTTTTTAATACAATAAAATGTAGAAACAACAATAGAAACCGTGGCAGTGCAATATACACGAATCAGGATCGTGATACTGCTGCCGCTCCTAACAGAGGGACTCATCCACCGTAAGTACCTTGGATCCTTAAATAAAGCAAACATTTTACAAATGATAAACACCCACAGACGGACGCGTCCAACGCTTAAGCCGGCTGGCACAATAGTCTCAAAGGCCCAAGAGTTTGTGGACATTTACAGATATCCGCCAACCCGACCGGATCCAGTATACCCACAGCCCACGCCGGATAAGACGGCTGCCAAGTGCCGTAAGGATGTTTGTTTACTGCCCGATTGCTATTGCGGTGGCAGGGACATACCCGGTAAGTTCTAATTTACGGATTAGCTAGATCGTTGACTACTAATACATTAGGCAAGTCGAAGCTAGCTTGGTTCTTTTTACCTATTTGGCTATGAAAAATGTCTTAAAAATAAATTCATTGCCTAACAAAACATAGGAGGTTTGAATGTATCGGACATCCCACAAATTGTTTTAATTACGTTTGATGATGCCATCAGCACAATTAATATTGATCTCTATGATGAGTTATTTAATAACAAGTCGCATAAGAACCCCAACGGATGTCCTTGGCGTGCCACTTTCTACTTATCCCATGAATGGACGGATTATGGCATGGTCCAGGATCTGTACTCTGATGGACATGAAATGGCTTCGCATACGGTTTCGTAAGTTGCGATTGTCTTTCGCTTCTGGCAGGTCATTTTAACCTAAGAGACATCAACTACATGCGGCAATCATAGTCTTTTATCTCCTTAGCTCTATGTATCTGCTTGGTTTTTATTCATATCATGAACTTTCTATTTTTCTCTACATTCCATCACCCACCACTTCATCAATATTGTCGTCATGGTTGCTAGGCGAACTACCTGCTGAAAGCATACCTCAAATCGTACTGTTGACCTTCGATGATTCCGTAAATGATTTAAATAAACAATTGTATACGGATCTTTTTGAGAAGGGACGTGTCAACCCTAATGGCTGCCCAATAACAGCGACGTTCTATGTCTCCCACGAATGGACTGATTACAGTCAAGTGCAGAATCTCTACTCCGATGGACATGAAATGGCATCGCACACAGTTTCGTAAGTAGCAGACTCTCAGACCCTGAGACAAACACACACGGCGACATAACACAAACACGAAGAACACCAATACAACGTAGTTAACTTAAACGGCAACCTATTTAAAACTTCTAAAAAGCCCCTATTCCATACTCACAGACATCAGTCATCAAATGGCCATGGTTCTTTTCTAAATCTTACTTTCAAAAATAGCTAGTCAAAATTAGGTTACTTTTTTTGTCCACAGTCACAGCTTTGGCGAGCAGTTCTCACAAAAGAAATGGACTCGGGAAATAGCTGGTCAACGCGAAATACTCGCTGCCTATGGTGGCGTCAAGCTATCTGACGTACGGGGTATGCGTGCTCCTTTCCTCTCGGTTGGTGGTAACAAAATGTACAAAATGCTGTATGACTCAAATTTCACCTACGACTCGTCGATGCCGGTCTATGAAAATCGTCCTCCCTCGTGGCCGTACACTCTTGATTATAAGATCTTCCACGATTGTATGATACCGCCCTGCCCGACACGAAGCTATCCGGGTGTTTGGCAAGTTCCCATGGTTATGTGGCAGGATTTGAACGGCGGACGTTGCTCTATGGGAGATGCCTGCTCAAATCCAAGTGATGCAGAGGGTGTGACCAAAATGATAATGAAGAATTTCGAGCGTCATTATACCACCAATAGGTAAAGAGGCAAGATTTTTAATAATACTTCTAGGTGTTAAGGAATACTATTTTATACAGGGCACCGTTTGGATTGTTTTATCATGCCGCTTGGTTTACACAGCCGCATCACAAGGAAGGGTTTATAAAGTTCCTCGATGCCATAAACGCCATGCAAGATGTTTGGATCATAACAAATTGGCAGGCTCTACAATGGGTGCGCGATCCAACACCTACGTCTAGGATCAATTCGTTCCAGCCATTCCAGTGCGATTACTCGGTAAGTGTTAATCAATATCCTAGTACAAATACGCTTGTCTATTCAAGAACCCTTTATGAAACTTAAATTTGTAACACACTTTAGGACCGACCCAAACGTTGCAATAATCCAAAAGTCTGCAATCTCTGGCACAAATCTGGAGTTCGATACATGAAAACATGTCAGCCCTGCCCCGACATCTACCCATGGACTGGAAAATCCGGCATACGTTCATCACGCATCGACAACGAAGTTGTTGAAGAACCTTCGGCACAAAACTGAGGATTTTCAATCTAAACACGCCAGTTAAACCACGCCTATGCTATTAGTAAACTACTGTTCGTCTAGATGTGAGCTTTATACACAGAGGAACAATTGGTATGCAATAGTAGATATTGTCATAAGTAATAGCCCAAAATACGGTATTCACTCGTTGAAATGTTCTTCATATTATATTTATACTATAGCCAATTTGTTGAAGGGCATCGAAAAATGTATTTAATATTTTGATGACATGTTACTTAAATTTATTTATTCCCTTATGATAGACTTATGTATGTGTACTGTATATTCCTATAGTTTGCTACTCCCATGGAAATTTGTATAAGTACTTTCAAAATGCAATATTAGTATAAGTCCTTGTATATGTAAAAGTTACTAACGTAATTGTAGACTCCCATTTAAATTAAAAAAAATGAAAAGCGCGTGTTTCAGGACATTATAAAACTGAGGGTCCATACTCTTTTTTGTGGTTGATTTAATTTGTGATATATATTTTCATCTAAATATGTATCTCTATATATGCCAATAATTATCTGAAACCAGGCAACAAATAATTATAAAATTTTAATAAAAAAATGTATCTAAGCATGTTTTTTTATCTTCAACCTTGTATATAACATTTTATTTAGAATCCGGTGAAGGGGCCTAATACTTTTGGGTATATTTATCACTCTTTATTTCCTAAATATGATTTAATTTCGAGAAAATTCGTATCGTACTATTATAAAACTAAAGATTTTATGTGCTATCCATAATACAATATCAACAGCTCACAAAATCATATGAATATATATAATATCATTTCTGAATTTATAACATTTCTCGCTACATTCTAGTTTATAGCATTTTAACTAACGGTACTAGATAAAGAGCCTAAACTATATGAATTTACGTCATGAACAAACTTTTCAGACACTTAAAGAAATTAATGATCCAATTAATGACCCATTTGTAACGGGAACGGCAGAAAAAAAATCAAATCATAACGTCAAACTAGACATCGTAAATCCATGCAAAGGAAAAGTTTTAAGCAAAATGCGAGCCTAGCGAATATTTTAACATTTAAGCTGTTAGTACTCATACGAAAGTATTAGATGGATTTGTAACGCTGCAAACTCAAAAAGGAAAAATCATTAAGATAAATTAATATTTAATTTAAGTATATTGTATGTATGTGCACACACAAAAAATTTTAAAGCTGAACGCAGTTCAAAAAAATTTAATTTTACCAACGAGTGAATTATGTATTTTGTGCTAATAATTGTAAAACATGTAAAATAAAAAAAAAACAACGTAAGTCAGAAATATATGCATTTTGAATTTCCAACCGATAGGTAAAACTGTTTGTCCTGAAAAAAAAATTTCCAAGAAGTTTGGCAAATTTGCATCGACATCTGGGAACATTATTCTTGGTCAAAATTCATGTGAAAATGGTACCCTCAAATATCCTAAATAGAAATAATTTCCTTTCTATATGGACATGGGTCAAAATTTCCCACCCCCATAACTCGGTCAATTCAATTTGGCATCAAATGTTTGCAACATTATTCTTGTTTTTCTGTTTTGGTACATTTTCTTACAGTCCGATCGGTTTCAAACTCATTTTCAAAGATCGTTAAGTGAATTTATTTTATTCGTACCACGGGCAAGGCCGTGATATATTCGCTAGTAAATATTTAAATGTACACATATGCATACATACCAGTGTGTTTCATAGACGCGCAGTGTCAATGGCTTTCTTTCGTTTACTCTATCCTTCTTACACACAGTTGCTTCCTCAAAAACGCCGTTATAAATGCAAATATGCATGAACTTCGGGCTCAAGGCACTGCAGGCTGCTTATTAATAATACACACACACACACTAACACTGTGAAGTCGGATCTGCGCTCATTTACACAATTATTTCGTTTAAATGCTTAATGGCGCACATTACTTCACTCACAAAAAAAAAAACAGCTTCTAACGCGTAGCAGCATTACTTCACTCTTTTTTGCACAAAAATTTCTAAATAAAGCCGGTCAGATTGATTGACGAATTGCCACTCCGTTATACAAATACATACATACGTATATATGTACATATGTAATTCCACTCAACAGAAATATTTCGGTTAAATATTTAGTTAATCTTAGGCACACAAAAAAAAAAGAAAAAAAACTACTAACGCGTAGCAGCATTACTTCACTCCATTTTGCACAAAAATAATATTACACATTTATATCAAGCCGATTTGCATTTATAAGTAAAGCCGGTCAGATTGATGGACGAATTGACGCTCCGTTATACATACATATACATACGTATGTATGTAGCTCGACTTAACAGAATTTTTTCGTTTCAATTTTTAGGTAATCTTTTAACACAAAACAAACAGTTACTAACGCGCAGCAGCAACATTCACTCTTTTTGGCAGAAAAGTAATATCAAATTTGTATCAATTTGATTTGCATTCATATTTAAAGCCGGGCAGAATGATGGACGGATATAAACACCGTTATAAATATACAAGCAAACGTATGAGGTTAGACTCGAGTCGACGCGGCGCTTGGTGCTGATGTAAAATTCACACACAATATGAGAACGGATTTACACACATGTCTGTTATACGCATTGCATTTAAAAACCGGTGCAATTAAATATGCCCCCAGAAACTAAAACATTAAATAAATACACTTTTATTTTGGAACATAAACGGCAGCGCTTAAAAGGAATCAAACGAACCGAAGGCAACTGCTTGGTTTCGATAACTGCAAACATATTTTCTATTTGCAGGCTGGTCACTCTAATGTGCTGCTACGGTTTTATGCGATGAAACAGCTGGCTTATTATCTATAAATCGATTAACCGCCAATCGTGATCCACAATAATCGCTGTTGTAAATCAAAGGCGCAAATGTTCAAAAATATAAAACATATCTTTATTCAATTTTAAGCAACCCAAACCTTTAAAAACGACTCATCATTATTATGAACTATCAAAACGTAATTGTGTTGAATTTATTATATCACAATTTATTTTGTATGAGATACAAATATTTTACTCTTACAAAATTTTCACACAACGTATTACATTTAATAAAACAAAACTACCGATTTGTATAAATCTACAACTTCTTCCTGCTTGGATCACTTTCGTGATTACAAAAATGGCGAATTATTAAAATCAATAATAAATAAAATACTGCTCAAAGCGCAACAACTATAAATACCTAAATATAAAAAACTACAACGAGATACACCACCACCGTCACACACAATAAATATACACATTTGGTAAATAAAATTTCAATACAGGGTATAGGAATATGAATAGCTTATCTGCGAGAACGCAATTCCTTAAATACACTAAATACTTTGGACACTTAGATGTTTTTACACAGCCAGCTAGTTAGCCGTTGAACAGCTTCATTTATGATCGCGCCAGATTACTTTGGCTTGTATTGGCCGATAGCCCAATCTCATCATCCGACTCGTCCGAGTCCAAGGGGCTGATGCGTATGGCCTGATACCATTTGTTAGTTAAGTCGGCCATTTGAGACTTGCATTCGTGCAGCTCCTGGCTGTTGAAGCGACGTGTAAAAAAGGGTATAAAATACTTGCGGTCCAAACGGCCGAAGCGATCACGTGCTTGCGTAAATGAGACATCCTCCTCCTCTGTTAGTTCGGACAAGTGCTCTGAATCGATTGCCTGTCCCCACTCTCGAGTCTTAGATAGAGATATTGACTTGCTGCGCTTTCGATGTGTGTTGTGCGAACTGCCGTCTGAGGAGCGTACAGATCCACGTGTTCGGCGTTTTTTACCAGGCTTCAGGTATTTTAGTAGCGGCATAGTTGAGCCACCCAAAACGAGCGTTGTGAAGAGAACTATAATCAGCGTAGTAGTAATAATGACGTGCCGTTTCTCCTGACTATCCAGATGTAAATGAAGAGACAGGGCATATGAAATAGCACCTCGCAGACCCGAGAACCACATAATAAACTGCATCTTATTGTTAATTTTGTGTTCACGAAACTTATTCACCAAATAAGCCAGCGGAAAAATGTTGCAGGCACGTCCGATCAGGCAGAGCACTATCGACCATATGACGAAGGACAATTCCACTTGGTGCTTGAATGAAAAAATTGCCAGTCCCAGGTAGGCAAATACGCATGTCTCTGCTATAAAGGCCAATGTACGCATAGTCTGCTGCATGGTAATTTGCGTGACAGTCGACAAATTAAAATGCGTATAATGTGACATAACGATTCCACAAAAGAGTATAGCCATGATTCCACTCAAATGTATACCTTCAGCTAAAACGTAAGGTGCATATGTAAACATTAGCATTATAGCGAACTCCAATGAAGGATGTTTGCGCAGATCGATGTGCTTCAGAAGTAATGCCGATATAAGAGCGAAGATAACACCTATGCCAGCCGAAGCGAAAAACATCTCGCAGAACGTTTTTAACGCGCTCATCATTGCCTCGCCCGTGCCTGCGTCAGCATTAGCGTTAATGGTTATGGATGCTGTCAACACAATTGATACGGCATCATTAAGAATGCTTTCACCAAAAACCAACATGTTTAAAATTGGATCGACATCGAGGGCATGAAAGATAGCTACCGTAGCCACGGGATCCACCGCCGAGATAAGGGAACCAAATGCAAATGATTCGGAAAAATTGAGCCTAGAAGCGAAAAAAGGAAAAGGATAAGATCATTTGCTGGTTAACTTAGAATTACATACGCACCGATAGGCCACCTCAGCCATTCCCAACAAGTATATGCCAGCGCCAATCACCAGGGCAGATATAGTTGTGCCAAAAATTGCAAAGACCAGTATAGAGCCAATGTTTTGGAAAAAGTTGCCCTTGTGTAAATTGTATCCAGACTCAAAGATAATTGGTGGCAAAAGCACGAGGAAGAAGCCCGTCGGTGAGAAGACCTCCTCTCGTTTCCAGCTGCCGTTTTCGCCAGACATTACATTCAGCGAAAGGCCAATAAGTGCACCTAAAAACACCACCACAATGGACTCGGGCAAATATTGAAAGCCAGTCTGAAGCATCGAATGTATCAAAAGTATTCCCAGCATTATAACGCAAATAACAAAGAATAACGATAGCGAGGAATTGTGCTCCTGTTCAACGGCGTGTGGATCAATCAACGACGGCTCCGTGACTGTCGTGGTCGCGTTTTTAGATACATTCATATTTTGTTGACCGACTGAAGCTGAGCTCGATTCAACTGGCGTCAAGCTGGCGTTGATGCTGATATCACTAGTCGTCCTATTACTTATATTTACAATAGGTCCATTAACTACTGTAGTTGTGTTGTTCTCCGATGTGTCAACTGGTTTCCCGATACTCTCCCCCGCAGCTGCTATGTCGTTTGGTGCGTCCAGCGCTGTCGTTTTTTGTGTTAAGAAAATGATTATGGCTATTGCACATAGCGCCTTCAATTTCCCCTTCATTTTGAAACTAAAAGAACACAGTGCAAGCGAATTGCTGCGATTTTTTTCTTATGTTAACGAACCACAAACACGTCATGAACAGCTGTTTTATCAATGGACTGCGTCTGTTGTTACTTTACCACACTGGTTTTGGGCATCTAAACAAGGGTATGCCAGAAATAACGCAGAATATTGGTATAAATCACTCGCCTAAACGGTCTCGATTAAGCCATATATCTCATCCCGTGGTCCAAGGCTTAGATAGTGATAATCGTTATGATCATTAAGTTAGAGAGCCGTTGTCTGGATAACTAGAAATCCTGTATTAATGTAAGCCATTAACATTTGTACAAATGGTAGCGTACGAAAAAGTTAATTTTATTTGCGCGCAACCAACAAATCTATCCTGGGGGTCAACATCATTTGAAAGATAATGAGGCTTGTTATTTCAGCTATTTTCAATAGATTTTTGTATTTATTATGCAGAAAGCAGATTACCGATCGCCTTGATCTTGGGCGACCTTGTTTGTGATTAGCATGACACGATCTTTCTATGGTTCTTTGTTATTTTAAAATACCGAAATTGTTGTCGGGCGCATGCTAGTGACGCATCTTCTTTTAAAAGGCTCGTGTTTTTTCAAAATTGTCGATTGATATAGTTCTTAGAAATAAATCATTAGTTTTTTAACATACAAACTAAACCAGGTGTTACACTTGATGCTCAACATCGTTGGGCACACAGGCACTTACTATACATACATATGAATTCACTCGATTCTTATGTAAAGTTAAAGCAACTACCCAGGGTGTTTTAATATTTCATCAACCCATTTGTGCTTTAATAATGATAAGCCCTTAATTTCGCCTAATCAT